ATTTGTATTCTTATAGGTTGATATTCGTCCTTTTCATATATTCTGCTTGCCCTGTTGACATTTAAATAACATCTGGTGGGGTGGTGGAAGTGTATAAAAGGGACCATGTATGGGTTCTAGGTCTAAATACAGAGTATTAAAATAAATAAGGTTGTAACTGTATTAAGTCATTGTTTTTTTGTTTTTGCTAAATACTAATAAAATGCACTTTAGGAGACTAGGCTGACTTTAAAGAGCTTAGGGGAGACCACAAGTGTGGCTTGTTTACTGATAAGAGTTTGCGTACTGTATACAGCTGAACCTAAGTGCAGAATTTTATTGAAAGGGGTCATGTACTGGCTTTTTAAATTTGATTATATTGTTGTCTGAGGTCAACTTATGACGTTCGCTTGGTTTTTGCATTCCATAAAAACTAATAAGTAACAGGCTATTTTGTACCCTAGTTTTGAGCCTAGCAGAAAAAACGCTCGGTTTTTATGGGCATGGCACTGAAGACTTGGAAGTAAACGCCCACTGCTGTGAGTGGATAACAGTTTTGCATATTATAATGAGTTTCAACTCACCCGTCGGTGCACGTGGGGGAAATTGTTCGGAAAACGTCCTATGTTGTAAAATGGCAACTGGAATGATTCGCCCATACATCTTCGACTCAGCCTTGAATGCTGTTGGACTCTAGAGTTCAGTGCTAGATTGGTGTTTGTCTTTGAAATATTCTCTCATTTCATTTTTGCTGTAAAATATCCAAAAACCACTTGGCCAATGTTATATATTTTGTTTAAGCTTCGGAGCTTTTGTTGAGAAAAATGGGCGTGCGCGATTCAAGGCTTGTGTTGTCAAACTCCTCCACTTGAGGCAGGATCTCTCTACCAACCTGGAGTTGCTGGAGGTGCTGATTCTCATCCCAGCCGCTTCACACTCGGCTGCAAGCCTTCCCAGTGCATGCTGAAGGTCCCGGTCTGAAGGGGCCAACACGACAACATCATCCGTAAAGAGCAGAGACGAAATCGTGTGGTCGCCAAACCTGACACCCTCCGCCCCCTGGCTGCGCCTAGAAATTCAGTCCATAAAACAGAACCGGCGACAAAGGGCAGCCCTGCCGGAGTCCAACATGCGCCATATATATAACATATATATAAAATAATGAAAATGAAAATAGTATTTGTTTTAATTATACATGATAATGTATAAAAAAGTATATTAAATATATTTAATCATTCTACACTGTAAAAAAATGTTTTTCAAAATAAAGCAAAGATTATTGGAGTTTTGTTGTTTCAGTCTTTCTGCATCAACATTTCATGTTTAATTCGATGTATTACTTGCCACTTTGCAATAATTTGTAAACCTGTGAAGCAGTTTCTGAGGTAAATTTGTTTTATAGACTTACACATTGAAAAAAATCAGTGCATAGGACTTAAGCTCAAGTCGTTTTTGCCTCCTTTCCACCTGCAGCCCTCCCCCTACATTTTGGTCAGTCTTGTAACCCCTCCACCCTCTATCCAGGATTAGAGCTCCATACTTGGAGCAGATTGCCCGCAATGCAGTCCATCTGCATTTACATTAATAACAAACAGCATTTGGGGGGAGGGGGTTCCTCGGGAGTCAACATGCTTCTTAGTCAGTGTGCTACATCTTCTCAAATAAGGACTATTAAAACGAGTGGTTTAAATATGGTCGGTTGCTGCCCCAGTTTCTTGTAGCCACTTTGAAGCTGCTATTTGTTGCTCTATTAACCAGTCTTTGTTGGCGATCTGACAGTAGCGTGTGTGAACTAGGGTACAATCACACAGCTACACTGTATCTGTACTTCTAGTGCCTCATTAACTAAAAAAAAAACATACTGTTTAACATTACAAATAGCTCAATCCTATGAATAGATGCATGTTGTTGAGCAAAATCTATTTATTTTGGCAACTAAATTTTTTTTTTTCGTCAATAGTGATACTCATCACTTAAGTCGTAAAGAATCACATTTGCCAGATCAAAGAAGAGATGAAGTCCACCCCATAATCGATGGCTATAGATCATAAAGCACTGACATGGGCCTGAGGCCAGAACCCGTTTACGGTTGCTCTCAGCAAGACCTCTGTGATTAGTGGCAGTATGGCCCTTCTTTGAAAAACTCAACTTAATTCATGTTTCCACAGTTGGCATCCAACTTTATTATTTGTCAGTCAGTGTTCTCAGACCACTGCGTTTGAAATATTCCTCTTTTTCAGGAATCACTTCACAGCGTGAGCTTTCTTGATTTGTATGTCAAATGTGTGTATGCGAAGTGAAGGAAAGTTTCAGGATGAAAACATCCACTTCCATGATAAACGGCTCTATTAAATGACGAGAGAGCTCTGTAATGTGACCCTAATGAATAAAACAAAGAGGAGTTGAAAGACCACCCTAACAGAGTGACAAATGCTGTTGGACTCTAGAGTTCAGTGCTGGATTGGTGTTTGTCTTTGAAATATTCTCTCATTTCTTTCTTTTTATTTTAAATGTATTTACAGAGCTCTGAGCTCAGGCAGTTGAACTTCCATTATGTCATTGTTTGGCTAAGCTGGAGAAGTGTATTGATCTTCTAGTATAATCGAGACAAAAAACTTTACTTAATTAATCTGAAAGACCAAAGCACAGACATTAATTAAATCCTGTATGGCTAATAATGACCATTAATCCTTTTTCATTGTTCTTTTTTAAAGAAATGCTTGACAGATTTTCATAATACCAAGTCTTGTTTGTTTTAATATGAAAGGCTTATTTATTAGAACCATGTGAAGTTCATGGTTTTACAGCCAGCATTGATCACGTCTTGTCTTGGTTTTTACTAGTGACACATGGTTTCCTCGTCACACTATCAAATGCAGTGCATTTATATATTGTGTTTCTGCATTGGATAAAGCTGAGTGTATTATGTCCATGTAATGAATATCAAAAAAGTGTCCTCTTTAGCTTTAATCCCCTTTCTTGGTCTTTCAGTATGGGTCAATTCAATGGGAACTTGAATATTTTAATCATTTGACAGCACTTGCTATATATGAAGAGTTCAGATGCAAAAGCCTCTAAGTGCCATTTGAAATTTTCTTCTAAAATGATCATTTTTATCAAGCTTGTATATTTAAGTTCAGTAATTTCACTTAAATGGCAATGAAGATTACCTATTAATTGCCATTTAAGTGAAATTACTGAACTTAAATATACAAGCTTGATAAAAATTACCATTATAGAAGAAAATTTCAAATGGCATTTAGAAGCTTTTGCATCTGAACTCTTCATATATACACACACATGTAGAATCAAACAATCCTGAAAAAAGTATTCCACTAAATTTAGCAGCAAATTGATAATAAGAAGAAATGTTTCTTGGGCACCAAACTAATGAAAATTCAGCTTATACCATCACTGGAATAAATTATATTTTAAAGTATATTAAAATAGAAAATAGTTCTTTTAAATTGTTTTTACAGAATATAATGATAGCATTTTCATGTTTGGTTAAAGCTTTTCCCTGATAAAATCTCAGTTAATGTGTGCCAGTGTTTTTTCTCCATATTTGCTTTGTTAAATGTGAGGAACAGAAACATCAATAATCATGAATGACATGATGACAGAAATATAAACACTTGAACTGGCCATTCAGCAACTCAACCAAATAGAAAATGGGAGGTCATTGTGTGTGTAAGTGGCACAGGGGAGGGGTGAGACTAATCCAATTGCATGTGGGTCTTTTTCGGAGGGTGAGTCTGGGGTCTGCAGACCTTCTGTGTCCCTATGACAGCACTACGGGGTGAGAGGTATAGTGCCTTCGTGCTTAAATGGAGTAGGGAACAAAATCTCAAAAAAATGTAAAAAGGTAGGAGGAAGATTGTGATAAATGTGTTTTATGGGACGATAACTTTTGGGGTTTCTTTTAAATGTTATGTGAATTTATGGAACTGTTGTTGTGTGTGTATAATAATTTCTTAACCGAGAAATAAGTATGTCACATTTTGTGGAAAGACAAAGCTTCACTGTAAGCAGGTTTTCATATGCAATACAGTTTCACTACTCATATTATCAATGACATGATTGGTTTTGCATGCCTAGTTGTTGATAGAAATGTTTTAGCATTGCCATTGATAAACTGCATATGACTTATTGAGATTAAAAACTCTTGAAAGGGGTTCTGTCCTGTGGTATTAGCTGTCACTTTACTTTTCTAGTCTGCTCCAGACTTCAGCTGACAGTTGGGTATACATCCCCCTCTTGTTTATATAGCTGTGCTAATCTTCTTACAGTTTTGTCTTTGTTTTCCCCCCCGAGTAACAGACATTAATGCAAAGATATGTTGTAACACATAAATGCTCCATTATCTTTTATGGGAGAAGGATTTTGCTCTCATAAGAGAGCTCTAGTAGTTTGTGTGATGCTCACAGAGGTCTACGCCATGTTATTTTGAGCAAAACCCAGAGTAGCAATTTGATTGTGGTCTTTGTCTACAGCATATACTTAAATATGCCAGAAATGTGGTCTGCCAGTCCAAGTGTTTGAGCTACACGATCACAACATCTGGCTGGCAGTTTCATCATTTATTGTCAGGTTACATTCCACGAGGTTAAGGTGAATAAGAACTGAAAGGAAGTTTGCTTTTCCTTTCTGTCTGTTCAACTGTACATTGAATAATGTCAACCACATCGATTCTTCCCTTGCTGAATGTCTGTATAAACAGCCAAATGACACATCTGTAAAAAAGCCCATAAGACTATTATTGGAACCATTTCCAGTTCATGAATTCTGTCAGTCAAATGAAACGGCTGGTATATAGGAAGCTTTCTCTGTTGTCATACTTAGGCCAATTTCTGTTCTTGTGCGTACTGAGGTTGAGCAGCAAATGAGCCATGACTGCAGCGCTTTAACATGAGTTCATGCCTGCTGAGTTTCTTTGTAATGGCAATTCTATTTATTTTCTTTCTGATTAGGTGGACGTCTGTGGCGCCTGTGAATCAGGATAGATCTCGACTCCCAACGATCTGCTGTTTTCCACTTTAATGGTATTGGAAATCAGATTTGGCACGTACCAAGACGACCAGTTAATGGCACACGTTCTCTTGTTACCCCTTGAAGAATAAACGTACCCTTCTTCCTCAGTCTCCGTGGTTTCCTTTTGTTTCTGCGGATGACATCATGGACCTCTGTCTGTGGTCTAAGAGTATCACAAGTGGACGCCAACGTTCTGGATCTGAAGTCTGTGAGGTCAGTGTGTCATTTTGAGAGGAATGTGAAGCCATTTTAATGCGTCTGATTACAGCCACCACTGGAGAGCCTTGACTCAACATGCTGGGGTGGCCCAGGCAGGCCCGGCAACAGCTAGGATGCCTATCACCCAAGAAAATGCCCTGAACCATCTCCCCCTCCTGGAGAACTGGCTCAGGGCTCGAGGAAAGGACCGAGACGAGGGCGATGAGTCTCGGATGAGCACAGGGGGTGTTTGCCAGGCTGCCATCTGCAAGCTTGTGGAATACATCCAGCTAAACTTTGCTGAAATTGAGAGTCCTTTGTACAGTAGTAGCCCATTTAGAGAGGAAACTGATGCTGAAGTAAAGGCGGTCTACCTGAACAAATCTGAGGAAGATGGACCGGAGTTCGGCCTCAGCTTTGGAAATATTCCCATTTTTGGAGACCCAGAGGGGAAAAAGAAAGGAGTCAGGAGGAGGCGCAGAAAGTGCGATAAAGGCCCTGTGTTGGATGTCGGGTGTATTTGGGTGACTGAAGTGAAAAAGAACAGTCCAGCAGCCCACTGTGGAGACATTAAGCTGCGAGATGAGCTGCTGTCACTAAATGGACAGCTGATGGTTGGGGTCGACGTCACTGGAGCCAGGTAAGATGTCTGAATTTGTTTACAATCAATATAATATGTTTTGCTTTATTTTGGCCTGTCGTAAAGAATTAGTTAACAAAATAGAGCTAAATCTGCTGTTGATTTAATGAGTTTGTCTTAGCTTTGAATCTCTGTATTTTAAACATTTTGGAAAAAGCATTCCTCTTTCGTCTTGTCATCATGTTAATTAATTAGAGTGTTCTGGAATCCATTGAGAGAATGTGGAGTACCCTCATAATTTAAGATTTCCCCTCAATCTGTAAAAGCCAATGGGAAATGGGCCTGCTATAAGTCCATTGTAATCGTGCTAAACTTGTTGTGAGTACGTGGTTTGGTACTGAACTTGTGTGAAAGACTTGGTGACAGTGATGGCATCGTACATTGTCAAACTTAAATCTGTGGGGAATGTCATGAAGTATTATGCTGAAGAATTGACATCAAGTTTGTTAATGTCTAAGAAGGACTAAATTACTCTGAGAAGCTCTGGTAATAATTACTTTACCCCACCTCTTCATGTTAATAAAATAAAACTGCATGTCATGTGAATATTAACCAACATCAGAGAACTGTTAAAAACATTAAATAATAGGAAAATATTTTAGGTCAAAGGAGTTCCCCTGCCAAAAATGTTTGCGAATCCCATTTGGGACAGATCACACCATTTTCTGAAATGCATCTGTCTGGGTGGCAGTTTCTTATTTAGGTATCAGGGTGGTTCACAGCTGGTCAGAGAGAACAGGGCCTCCTGTTAGTGTTCATGTGTCTATATACATCGTGTCAGCATGTCCTGGGGTTGACTAGTTTTGCCCCAGAGCATGGTACTTGGGTCAGGGCCAGTGGGTCTTTTCCTTATTTGTTTCCTCATGTTGACAGCTCTGACAGACGGCTGCATGTGTCAGTGGTGTGGACAGTCTCGTGTCTGTCCTTGTTTGGCCTCCATCTGGACTGGCTGACACGCTCAGCTTTCACTTAGAACGCCAAATGTCTGTGTCTAACTAAAACAAAGGATGGACCTGCACTGTGGAGTTAGTCATTTTGCCGTGCCATGTTTTTTTTTTTTTTTTTTTTTTGCCCTTTCCTTTTTTTGGCTAACAGAACCTTGGAAAATGTGTCACATTACAAGTACTTTTGTGCTCCAGGTCACCAATGACTTAAAAAAAATCATGTTGGAATGTTTTGCACCATTTTTCTTCATTTTCAAAACCAATATGGTTTTCTAAAAAGAGCTATTTTAGCTGCTAATGTTGTTATTTCCAGATTTGTAATGGGCTGTATGCACGCAGAAGTTCCGCAATTGACGCAAGGCTGCTCTTCAGTTTCCGGTTAGGGAGATTTAAAGCGGAGGAAAACCGTGGAAAACGGGATAATGGCAGAGTCTTCAAAATTTACTGTCCTCCCGTCTTTGAAACGAAACTTTAATACGTTTAGATGTAATTTTATATATGGTTATGCTTATTTAATAAAAATTTAAAAAGAAGCATAAACAAAATGAGAGGTGTCTGTTTTGTCTGTGTTTGTGACTAACGTTACTTGACTAGCCATGGAGTATAAAAACCAATATAAATTCTCGGTATTGCATTGGACTCTACAATTGGTGGAAGTTATCGAGCATCCTTAGACCTTCACCGTAAATACCGCCGTGCATAGAGCCCATTCAGTTTGCAAACCTTTTTGTTCAGAATGAGAATGTAATTGTCACAATTATGGACTCTTTTGATTTTTTGTTTTGTTTCCTTGCAATCTCCAGTGTTTTCCTATTTAATTGAAATTAAGGCTTTTTCTTTGGTAGTCTCCATCGTTATGATTTATACATACAGCCACAATACAATAGTAACATTGCAGCAAAATTATTTATTTCTCTCCAACCATGATAAAATATGTTTGATTTTGATCAGGCAGAAGTAAATGTACATGCAAAACAAGACTTCTAAATGACCGAACAGTGCAATTTTAAAGTTCATTCACCCAAAAATGAATATTCTGCCATCCTTTATTCACTTTCATGTCGCTCCAAACCAGTATGACTTTCTTCTGTGGAACATAAAAGAAGATATTTAGAAATTAGAATGTTGGCTACCGTGTTTGGTGACCACTGACTTCCATTATGACAAAAAATAAAAATAAGATGGTTTCTTAAAATATATTTGTGTGTATGTGTGTTCTGCAGAGGATAAAGAAAGTCATACAGGTTTGGGTGAGTAAACATGAAAGAATTAACATTTTTGCTTAGTTAAACCTTAAAGGGATAGTTCACCCAAAAATTAAAATTAGCCCATGATTTACACACCCCGAAGCTATTCTAGGTGTATATGACATTATTCTTTCAGACGAATACAATCGGAGTCATATAATAAAAAATGTCCTGACTCTTCCAAGCTTTGGTGGGAGTGATGGGAGTCAATGGGTTTATTTTTTTGGTTCATCAAGTCCATCAAGCTCTGGGTGACCTTGTAAAAAATATACCCATTGACACCCATTATAAAGCTTGGAAGAGTCAGGATATTGTTTAACCAAAATAATTTGTTAAATAATTGGCTACGTCCAAAAGACAAAAAATGCATTTGCATATTCTAGAGTGTTTACATCACTGTCTCATATCCTACACAGTCCTATATATACCCAAGTTGAAGACTACTTCCTTTGAATGTCCTGTGAATGTTGTGGTCTGTCAGGGTTGACTCAATCCCTGTAACTTAAGCTCTATAATTAGGGGTTGTATTGTGTGACTGATAAAGGATAGGAAGTTTTGCAGTGTTCACACAGAATCTGGTTTGGGATAACTGATTCCTGTACGGATGGACAGCAGGATACAGAAAGGGAGGAGGTTCCTGGGAGTGGCACGTGGTTTTGACCAAGAACAAACGTATTATTTTCTCAAGCTCAAGAAAAGCTGTTCATGTCAAGACGTCTCTGGAAGAGAAACAACGGCTGTATTTCTTCTTGTTATTCTGATACAAGAGATCAGTCTGTTTCCTGTTGGTTTAAGCTTCTTATACCAAGAAATCTGTGGATTTGGCTGGAAAATTTAGATTTACGTCACTTGTGCTTGCATGCTTACATCATGTATGGCAATTTGCCATAATTTGATGAAATTTTTCAAATGTATATGCTTTATAGCATGCACAACTGAGATAAAAACGAAGAAATTAATATCGTATGTTTCAACTATATGGCGATAGAGATGTCTAATCTAAATCGCACCTTTATAAGAGTGGAAGCAGTTATTTTATAATACAGTAGTCAACATTTAAAGTGGCTCAAAAAAGTTAATCAAAGTTGTCCTAAGACTAGAACGCGTGTATAACTTTCATGAAAGATTTTGATCCACTTCAAATGTTGACTACTGTATATCTAATATGGGAAATTAGCATAGCTATTCAACATACATATACTGTTCAAAGGTTGGAGGTCGGTACGATTTTTTTTTAATGTCTCTTATGCCAAGGCTGCATTTGTTTGATCGAAAATAAAGTAAAAACAATCATATTGTGAAATTTTATTAAAATTTAAAATATCTGATTTCTATTTTAATATATTTTGAAAATGTAATTTATTCCCGTGATGGCACCTGTAATTGCATAGCTGAATTTTCACTATCCATTACTCCAGTCCTCAGTGTCCTTCACATGATCCTTTAGAAATTATTAGAGTATGATCTGATTTGATGCTCAAGAAACATTCATTGTTATTATCAGTGTTGAAAACAGTTATGCGCCTGAATATTTCTGTGAAAACCATGAGTACCAATGTTAAAAGTTCAGGGAAGTAAGCGGCGGTGAACGCTAAATATAAAAATGTATGTCAAAATAAATAAATGACAAAATAGTCCAAGGTTCTCTTTTATCCATCACTGTCGTCAGTCCACCTTTTATCCTTCCTGAGCTCCTCGTCGGACTCGAGAGTCGAGACTCACGTCACCGGCCTCACTCTGTTCCCACAGCTCTCGGCCCCGCACTCCTTGCCACACCATGATGAAAAAAAAAATGTTTAGGATTCTTTGATGATAGTAAGCAACAAAAATAGTAAGAACAGCATTTATTTGAAATAGAAATCTTTTGTCACATTATAAATGTATTTGTCTCTTTTAATCAATTCATTCCATCCTTGCTAAATAAAAGTAGGCTTATTAATTTCTTTAAACAACAACAAAAGTGCTGACCTCAAACTTTTGAATGGGGGTGCATGTTGATTCCTTTGCTGGTGTTTCCGATAGACATTTAAACTTACTTTACCAGCACAATCTTGCATTAACCAACTAAAATTCATCATAGTAAAGTCTCCTATTCAATCTTTACCGAAGACACAGCAGACTCATTTTTAGAGGTCCAGCCATCCATTAGCTGTTTCCTTCCTTTACTCACACAAACCTTTGGTTAACTTTCAGTTCAAGCGAGTTTTATGAGTCTGCCTCAGGGTTATGTTCGCTCATTACTGCATTACTCTTATTTCCTCTCTCAGGTAAGGCCTGAATCTATAAGGGTACAAACACTGAGAACTGTTGGAGTAGAAAGTCTGGTGTGAGTGGAGAGATGAGGGTTGGACATGGTTCAAAAAGCAATGGACCAAAGCCTTCAAACACAGACACACACAAAAAAAAAAGAGACACATGATGGAAACTTTATTTTTCATCAAGTGCTTTTCATGTTAATGATTTCAATGCAAAATTTCTGGGCCTGAATGCAGCTCACCACAAAAAGCCTTGTTGGTTTAATGTGTCTTCTTGTAATTTTGCCCCCCCTTTAACAGCCTGGACCAGCATCTGTCTATGGGGAGCTTGGAAAATAGATCAGTGGCACTGCTCCAACCGGCCCATGCAAAGTGTTCTCCACGTGCTCAATGAGAGAGTATTGGAGAAAACAAGGTTTAGAACAATACACTTAGATTTACTGCAACAAAGAAAATACCTGTTTGCCTAGAAAGCTATAATCAGCTGATTTAATGGATTTAATTTAAAGGATTTTCCCAAAGATTTTGGGATCCAGAAGCCACAAGTATTTAGG